AGGCTCAATATCACGGTATTCGTACCGATTTAATGATCTGTCCCTGTTTCTAAAAATATCATAAAACATTATTTAACCTTGGTTCGGGCGAGCGACATCGAGGAATATTAGGGCCAGAAAGGCCAAAATTTCTGGAGACCGATCCGTCATCGAACGACTGATGCTGGAAAATTGCCTCGTGAGATGGAACATAGACTTCTGGCCGCTGACGATCTTGGCGTTGATGGGGGCGTGGGTATTCAAGCTCTGGAGGTGGGGTAGGAAGGACGCCTAGGGCATTCACAATTCGTCTGTCGTCCTGGACGTCAGGGGGGAAAGAAGATGGGGAAGGGGATCTCCTGCGGCGATAACCAGGGCTTTGAGGCTGGAGAGGCCGCCGGATGTTGGAGTAGCTCATCGGTGAATAGATGGAGGAAAAGAAAGTCAGCGTGAAGAATTTAAAACAAAATTTAATCTGCCATATTAGGTATAGCAAATGCAGCAGTTATTTATAAAATATAAAGATATTTAAAATAATTTATTATTAAATTAGTTACTCTATTTGTCATGGACTATATCGCAAATTAATTATATTTCTATATGCCTCGATATTTGATTCATTTATTAATCGGATTACATGTTGCTATTAACGCAATAATATACGTAATTCCTAACTTGATCTTTTTACAATAATATTGTCAAATTAACTATATTCTCCAAAGTAGGTTTATATCTTATGCCTCCTAAATGTCGCTTGAGGAATTAATTAAAATGTTAGGTAATTTTTCTCAATGCTGAGGTGAATAAGCAATCTTGCCAGATAAGCATTATATTAAGTGGTATAGGGTTCCTCCTCATATACACATATACACATATCATGGCAATAGTAATAGCAATTGATTGAGTCTAATCAATACTTAGGATAAATCATAAATAACTTAGTAGTAGAAGTGTCTAACTTATAGATTTTCGGTATCTAAGCTACATATTAAAATTTGAGAGTATGATGAAATGTAATGTTAACCGAAATCCGCTTTTCGAATGAATTTTAATATATGGTGAAAAGGTCTGCTATTCAACTTTAGTGTAAATATGATTAAATGTTTCACGACTGTATTGAATTTTACCCACTCTTGATTTAAAAGTTGAACTGTAATTAAAAATTTGTATCCTAATGCTCGAATTCAAGTACTTATGATACTCTCAAAGAAAGGCCTTGTGAAACGTACATAATCCCCTGTCTGCTTCTATAGTATTTGTGATTTCCAGCCTTATACCGTTTACTTGGTGCATTATTAAAAGTTTCCCCGGAATCGACAGTGAGAAGCGCTATCTTTATTATATAGCTAAAACCTTTCAACTTGACGAATGAAGCAATACCTATGACCCATTTTTTCTTCAATTGTTGTGGCATCACTGTTCGCCCCTATATTTTATTCTAGCTTCTAATACTGCATCTTTCTCTTAACCCCACTA